ATTCAGTTGTGATAGGTGTGATTTTTCAACAAGAAACATGACTGAATGTACTATAAACTCGACTATGCTAAAAGTGACATTGGTAGTATAACGCCCGTCTTCAGAAACATTACTATGAGGGCTCACAGTGCTTGTGGACGCACAGGGTCACACACGAACTAATCACAGAGCTCTATTCAACGCTGTGCGCTCGATTTGCTGTACTTAAGCAAGCATTGTTTGTAAATACGGGCGTCAGTCTTGGTGTATGTATATCTTTTTTTATACTTTAATCAAAACAAATCCTATCAAAAATTTATTGAGTACTAAGGCCTTTTCCAGGGCACTTAGACAATGTCACAGAACCTATCCTACTTCATATCCTACTATAATATTATACCTAAAAGTAGCGAAAGTTTGTATGGATGTTTAGATGTCTAGACATCTAGAATCTAGATCATCTAGATGTTAATATGTTTGTTACTCTTTCACACAAAAACTACTGAACGGATTTTGATAAAATACAATATTATTGTTTATAACCCAGATTAACATATAGGCTGTGACAAACTAAATTTCACGAGGGTGAAGCCGCGGGCAAAAGCTAAATGGTACATAAGGCGAACTTAATGCCATAGAGATTTCCCTGTCTATAGATTTGTTAGACAAACTTCTGTGCTAATATTGTAGAGTTCGTGAAAAAATGGCTAACGTTACCGAGTGAAAGGTCAAATCGCTTGGGTCGTGTCTACGAGCCATTATGTAAAATATTATTTTCATGCATTATTAAATGTATTTTTTCTCTACAATAGTAGATTCTTCACAATAATAAAGGATATTAAACCTAGTTTCATTCTGTATGAGCTACCATAACATGTGGACTTTCAATCTTGAATGTCAACCAAAATTTTCCACATTGTCCCTTTTGGGATTCGAACTCAAGACTGTCGGGTTGAAGGATCCAATTTTCTTACCACGGAAAGTTTGAATGTGAAATATAGAGCCTATTTGTAACAGTATTATTGAATATTTAATTACTATAGACATTTTGGCTAGTTCGTACAGTGACTAAATAGTATTAGTAGGTAGGTATTACTTTCACGTTACCACAGTGAGTAGGTACTTCCAATCAATTGTAATTACAAGAACAGATTGTTATTTTTTATAGCCGATGTATAACAGAAGCTTAATTTAGCAAAAGCAATACCTATAGCGAAATCAATTACGGGCCAACGACCTCCGCTCCTGCGACAAATTAAAAAAAAGGCGTCAAAATGGACGCCTTTCAAATTTGGCGCCATCGCGTTTTAAAAAGAAAAACAATGTGCAAAAAAGGAGATCTCACTTTATTTTTTGTTAAAAAAGCGCCCGGGCGGTTTAAAAATCGAATCAGGCAGGCCTCCGGCCTTGAAGGAGAAAAAGGAGGCGCTCCGCCGTCAACATATAAATCATATTTCTGGAGAATTTTTAAAAGTCCTATTGCTTTCGCGTATTTGCCATGTACTCCCCCCGGGGGAAGGGGGGTGTGTACTTACCCCCTGTTTCCTAGTTCTCGGGCATACAGGGTGTTCGTCCGCGGTTGCCTGGCGGCTTGGCCTTGAAGATGGCATTTAGGTTTTGCTTATTTTTGTCGGTTTCTGGGTAGGTTTATTGAGATTTGGTATTTATTTTATGCCTTATTGAGTGTTAAGTATATTCTGTTGATATAGCAATCAGTATACCAGGAAAGCCTGCCTTTTTCTAGGAAAATGTAGGTACGCAGCTACAAGTGAAGAATGTTATTTAATTTTGATTAAAGCCTGTCCAATATTTTTCGAACGAAATAACTTTCGTATCCGCAACTACTTGTATCTTACTTGTAACAAAAGTAAAATTATTTTAAGTAATATTTGAGTCATTTTTCTGGTAAAAAAAGTAATTAGACACTAATAAGTTGCCAAAGATTTAGTATAACTTGAACAGTCAACAGTGCATCATTAGGTACATAAAAAGGACTAAATACTACCTGCATGCTTGCATCCTGTTGCAAAACAACAACTATCTGTATCCACGAATAGTTTTAATTCCAATAATATTATAAACCAACCGTGCGTAGAAGAAGGAGTGTATATCATAGTTGCGACAAACAAAGGTGCTACAAACGTAGTGGCGACAGTACGTTATGCCGACAATCGATGGCGCGACTGCACATTAGCTCGACGAACGTTAGCGCGACAGAACGATGGGGCGACAAACGAAAGCACGACAGTACTTTGGAGCGACAAACCCTAGCGCGACATTACTTAGGCTCGACAAACGATTGCACGACAGAACCTCCGATCGACAAACTACACTGTGAAACAACTTTTTACTCAACGACCTAAAGCATGACAAACATAGTAACAAGTTATTTAAAAAAATATACGAGTATGTGGAGGTATTAGTAATGTATAATAATAATTTTAGTAGGCTTTAGGTTTATTTTTTAATTACATGTTTACTTTAAAATTAAATTATACCTACATAAACGTAAACAAAAATTTAATTGTATAAAAATGTGAAAGTAAACATGAAAGTAAAAAAAACCTAATTATGCATTATTTATTTATTTATTTATTTATTCAAATATTTTTTCGTATAACATTAATGTGATTTTAAAAAATATTAAAAATACAGAGAGTACGTTTTTGTTAACGTTTATTATTTCTATTTTATAATTTATTTTATTCTATTTTTGTGTATAATTAAAGTAAACATGACAGTTTAAAGTTAAGTGATACATACTTTTATGGCACATTAAGTTGAAAATGTAAGATTAAAAATAAACCTAATATATCCACATACATATTTTTTTAAATAACTTGTTAGTTACTATGTTTGTCATGCTTTAGGTCGTTGAGTAAAAAGTTGTGTCACAGTGTAGTTTGTCGATCGGAGGTTCTGTCGTGCAATCGTTTGTCGAGCCTAAGTAATTTCGCGCTAGGGTTTGTCGCTCCAAAGTACTGTCGTGCTTTCGTTTGTCGCCCCATCGTTCTGTCGCACTAACGTTCGTCGAGCTAATGTGCAGTCGCGCCATCGATTGTCGGCATAACGTACTGTCGCCACTACGTTTGTAGCACCTTTGTTTGTCGCAACTATGATATACACTCGCGCGTGGAGTGAGTGAGTGTAGGAGAAGTAATTGGAGGAAGCCTATGTTCAGCAGACGTCCTGTGGCTGAGATGATGATGATGAAGAATATTAATAAATATGAAGAACGTACAAAACAAAGTTTCGCTTACACCCTGTGCTTTTCGTAAGGCGCCGCCGAGGAGCGAGGGCGGGCGGTCGCGGGGTGCGCAGTATACGCGAGAGATACAGATAAATATTTTTAATTTGATGTTTTTTTATATTTTGGTTGTATCTGTCCTTTCTTTTTGTAGGAAAAGGCAAAAGCATAGTCTATACAAGCAAGTCTACACTTTTAAATTCATGTTTTTTATTTTAGTTGACTTTTTCCTTGTGTAGGGAAAGGCAACGGTATACATCTAGCTAGGTCTTCAGTTATTTACAAGCCAAGTAGAAACAGTTAGAAATTTATTTTTATTAGGTTTGTCTTTGTACTTTTTGCTGTATATGAAAATGGGTTGTAATGAATGTTTATTTCTTTACTAGGTATTAGGTGCGATATCCTCTACTCGAATTTCAGTCATTTATGTTTTTCATACATCTGAAATTCTCCATGTCAGGAAGTCAATAGTAAACGAGTCTTTAAGTCTTTTGAGTGATATTGTAACCTATATTAGCATTGTAACCTTTATTACCTAGCCACTTAAATTAAATTGAGTAAGTTTTTTGATCACTTCCTTATATCATTTAGTCACAAATACTCTATACACAGTAGTTCAAGGATACCTTGAATCCATACCATTAGTGACAACATTACTAAAACCAATAAAAAAAAACATAAATCAAAAATACCAAACCGGAAACGTTTATTTCATCTGAACCCCGCGGGTGTACTACAACCGACACACATGTGGTGGGGCACTAGGAAGAAAGCGGGCGAAGAAAAAATGAGGGAGAGGAAAAACTAGAGAGGGACGGAAAAGTGGGAGAAAAACGAAAAATTTCACCCCGCGCCCCTCGCCCGGCCCCACCCGCGCGCGGCCCCTCCACACGCACACACGCGTGCGTGTACCGCGACCGAATCGCCTTGATACTGGCCACTTTCACTTTTTTTTCATCCAGGAAGTGGAAGAAAATGGTGATTTTAAGAAAAAAAAGTTGTTTTTTGGTTTTCGATTTGAAGTTTTGCGTTAAAGTGACGGAGGTATATCGAATTTTGAATTTTGTTAATTGGGTTCGAAAGAGGTCACGTAAAATGTGAATGAGTACTATGGTAAAGTGTAAAAATAAAGCATATTAAACCTTATTTTGTTGAGTCAAGGAAGGCAGTACGGTGTTAATACAATTTCCTTGATGTTTGACTACTTGATCTCAATCAGTGCCCTAGCTTAATACTGCATTTTTATACGATTACTCCTTACAATTTTTAAGCGGATTAAAAATTAAGCTACTTAAAGATGTTAAAAGTATTTTAAATAGAAAATTATCCAGCGTAGATAATTTTTGTTCAGGAAACTACCAAGGCCCAAAGCCAATAAGTACCATAGCTAGAGCACAAATCTTACCTAGTAATTTACGTCTAACAGTTGTAGTGTATTTTGTTTTGCTTTGTAAAAATCAATGAATTATAAAAACTATAATAAAAATATCATTTTAGAATAAGTTGCACCTATAAAGAAATTACAGGCAGATATTAGTGTGTAATGGTATGTCTATGTACGCTACCAATAAACGTTTGCAGACTTCATAAACGCGAAAAGAAACCGCCAAAACATTGAAGACAAGTCTGTTATTGCTCATATTTCTGCGCACGCTGTAATTTATAAATAATTCCCATTTCCGAGTTCGCCAGGACCAAGAGTGCGCGGTCCTCCGGGAGGCTATTGTAGCATGTTTTTATACCCAAAAATTTTAAGTCAGTAGGCGCTCGAACTCTGAGCGGCTTGAACGTTTTTATTATTATTAATATATATTTATATTTCGTTTTAATTTACAAGTTTTCCACGGTTCATAATTTTAATATTTTTATACCGTTTTATACAATAAAGTGTTTATAGGTAGTAATTGGAGAGAACTTTTTGGCGGTCGGAAATAGTCGCGGAGCTATTTTTGAATGTTAACGTTTTAAGTTTGACAGCAAGTTCGGGTGACAGTTCGCGGATTCGAATTTTAAAATTGACGTTAGAATGAAGATGGCGGTTCGCGCGGGCCGCGGGTTCGTTGCCCCCAGCGGAGCGGGCCAGTAGGATGATCAACTTCCAGAACATTTGACGACTGCTTTACCCGTGAGTACATTTTGTAACTTTAGAATTATTGATGACGTTATGTAAGGGCACGTTCATAATGTCGCATGAATATTGTAGCGCGCGTGTGTGCGTGAACACACAGCGGCGATTGTTTTTATCGCTGGCAGTAAATTAGGGGCCGATAGTCCGATAGTGGCCGATCCACTGAGTAGTGTTGGTATTGATTTTTTTCCCTCATTCTGTTAAATTTCATTTATCGAGGGAGCGAGTGGACGATGACGTATGTCTGCCGGAGGGACCGCTCGTGGCCGGCTGGAGGGATCTTCCGAGGCCGGTTCCGCGGTTGCTGATAACGTGCTGAATGTCATGTCACTATTATTTAGTTCTTAAGGTCGTCTTCCTAGCATTAATAACTTTTGTACAAATGCCATATGTTCATACTTCTGCCATCGTAAAGTGGCACGTATCTGTATGGCAGTAATATGCAAAAATAATTTGGAAATAAATGTTATATTATAATATCTTATCTTAAAAGACTCTTGACTTTTAAGTTATCTTTCATCAGTATATCTGAATATCTATGACTATGTATCTATAGTCATGTAGATATGCATATGTGTCAACATTTCAGGTATATGTCAAATTGGTACGAACATCTTTGCCATCACGAGGAATGTCAGAAGCGTTTGACAGCATCTGGCCAACGAAGAATCCATATTTTTTTCTAAATTTTAGGTTTGGAACCCGGAAATGAACCTGGGACTGCCATCTTTGTAGACGTAAAGTATAGGGCGTTCGACAAATCGGTCACCACAGGTGTGATTAGCATTTTAAAGTTTAAAAAGTAACTTGGTTTGCATTTTTTTGGAAAAAAAACACTTCCTTTAAATGATGTAATAATGACACTAAATCCCAAAGACTAGGTAATATTTTAAATCAAATGAACATAAACTGACACATGTTTCGTAATAAAAATCAAACATTATCAAGCAAAAAATATCTACAATACGTTGGGCTACATGTCTACAACACGTTGGGCGCCACTCCTCAAAATTCGATTCGTATTGCTAAGACGATCTCAAGACTGAGACAGGGAATAGTAAGAAGAATAAAAACTGTTCTTAATGAGATGTAGCACATGACAATCTCTACCAGTCGACTACAGAGATAAATCAGAGAAAATATGTCAGTAGATGGTCATTAAAATTGGACTTCTACTATGAAGTCGATCTCAAGACTGAGACGGAAAATAATAGAGGGAACAAAAATGGGACTTATTGTAATGTGGCATATGAAAATTTCTACCAGTCGATTATAGAGATGAGCAGAAATGTCAGTGTATGGAATTGGACTTCTAATAAGCCGATCTCAAGACTGAGATGGGAAATCATAAGAAGAATAAAAACTGGACTTATCGCAATGGCATGTGACAATATCTACCAGTAGATTCGAATCTATAAGCATAAAATGGGTGAATATTTGGACAACGCAGAATTAATTGTATATCATCACCATAATTTTAGAATTTAGAATTTAAGCGCATCGCGTCCCTACTGCAGCGAGTACGGGGCAGCGCCAACAGCCTCCTGATGGCGGTCGCGGCGAGACTGGACGCAGACAGTGCTATTATGCAACACTGGACTCGCGCCCATCTAGTCAAAGACACTAAAATTAATTATAATAATTTCAATAGTAATAATAATGTCTTTAATAATAATAATTAATAATAATTTCTATTATTTAATTAATTAATTAATACTAACATAGTTTTAAGCTTACATTGTTACTAACACTATATGGACCCTGGATCGAAATAAACATATTTTATTTTATTTTATTTTATTTTATTTTATTTATTTTATTTATTTTATTTATTTTATTTATTTTATTTATTTTATTTATTTTATTTATTTTATTTATTTTATTTATTTTATTTATTTTATTTATTTTATTTATTTTATTTATTTAAGTTTTTCACCGTTGGGGCAGGAAAGTTCTCGAGTGGCGACCACGGGCTGGAAAACGTAGCGTGGGCAGGCCTCCTACTAGGTAGACCGACGATCTGGTAAAGGTCGCGGGAAGAGCCTGGATGCGGGCAGCGCAGGACCGTTCATTGTGGAAAACCTTGGGGGAGGCCTTTGTCCAGCAGTGGACGTCATTTGGCTGAAACGAACGAACGAACGAACGAAGTTTTTCATTGTATTTAAAAAATATAGCCGATTTTATTTGATAAATTAGGATCTTATTTATTTCTTGTAAAAAAAGTTGGCATGCGGTACAGTTAATTCTAATATGAGTACAAAAATTAATACTTTATGCTTTTGGCAACGAACACCTTGGTTTTTGACAGACTGAAATCCACGCGAAAAAGGCCGCAAGCAAAAGCTAGTAATTTCATGAAATATGAATAATTGTATTAAATGATTTATAAGGCAATAGGCATTAACTTGATACAATCATGTTATAGAGCCTCCAAGGTCTGGGGAGACCAGGCTATTTCACGACATTTGCTATCAAGATTGGTCTTAATAGTATTAAAACTTATGACTTTAGGGTTTATAAATAATCCAGACTAACTATTGAACAGCTTTATCGTAGAATTTTGTCTGTCACAGAAAAACTTTATCGCGCGTTCTTTATTTACAAAAACCGGGATAAAAACTATCCTATGTCCTTTCCCGGGACTCAAACTATCTCTATACCAAATTTCATCAAAATCGGTTCAGTGGTATAAGCGTGAAAGTGAGACAGACAGACAGAGTTACTTTCGCATTTATTATATTAGTAGGATTCATGTACCTACTGCTTCCTACAAATAAATACAAGTTTAATCATTCTTAATAATACATAGTAATAGTGCAAGGTAGTCTAGGTACTAATTATTTTTGAATATGAATGAAAAGTAAGATATTTTCTATGATAAAAGGTACTTTAGGGGTCAAACTAATTTGTACCAATCGTGGGTTTAAATCTATTCTTGAGATTACTGAGAAAATGTATCTAATAGATAAGCTTTTAATAAATAGGATATCATGAAAATTATTATTAAAGAAGGTCAACTTAAGTAGACTAAATTCTTATGAAGTTGACCTTCATTAATCACTATTTAATTTCATCCAAAACGTGATGATGTAAAAAATTACATAATAAAAAACATAATTTTATTTATATTTTTTTTATTTCTTTAACAATGTTTAATAATTAACATACTTTGTTGAATACCGGAAGTAACCCAGACAAGAGTTTTAAGAAGGACATTCTACTACGAGTATTGCCGAAACATGAGTCATATTTTTGATAACTCGCTAAAATGGCGCCCAACATGGTAATAAGATAATCGTCAGAAAAAAATATACGGAGAATAAAATTAAATACAGTTAACAACATAGAAACTATTTTTATTGCGAAATAGCCTTTATTACAGCTACATTAGATTCTGTATTGAAATGAATAGAACACTACAATTATTATGACCGAGTCAATCAACTCTGTCCAGCGTTCATTCAAACGTCCTTTCCACCGGGCGGGTCAGCCGTTTTTTACCGCGTGTCAATTATGTCAATACATTGCCGTTTCGCCACTGCCCTTGAAAAGGGTCCGCGTATCGAGCGAGCAATGTGTACCGCTGCCCGCGACATGCCCGCTTGGCCGTCAAACGGTACCTTGGGGTTTCCCTTTATGCAAACAAGCTTGGACAACTCCGTTACACGATTGTATACTTTAGTACATAAAGATAAGAGTTGTTTGGGCCGCAAAAAGCGGCGTGTATTCATTCGCCACAGTGTTTTACAGTGACGCATAGTGATTTTCTAAATCGTGGGTTTCCTAAGACGGGGTCGAGTGTAAGTGGTTTTGTACATTCAATTTAGTTTCAAGTTTTATTAAGTTTCGCTTATACAGTCGATAGAACATCGGACTATAAGTTTTGTTGCAAAATAGCACTTAAGTATTAGACCTTAAGATGTTCCAGCGTTTGAATAATGTTATGACGATTCACGACATTTTTTAAAGCTTTGGAAATACTTCATAATAATTTATAGGTAAATGGAGGATTGAACCTACAGAGAAACAGTGGTAGGGTTAATACTGGGACGTGTAAAAGTGCTTTTAAAAAACCTATTTGCAAAAATAAATGAGTTTTCATAGTTTTTTAAGAGGGCGGTTGGGGAATTCTGATGTTTTCATGACATTTCAAGTCTACTGCAGAGCCTCACCATAAAATGCCATATTACATAATACTGTGGAAGTAGCTAAAATATTAGGTACCTACTAACCTTACTGTTTCAAGATCAGTCAACTAAATCTTTAATACCATAAAGGTAGGGTACTAATATTATTAATGCAAGACAGAACCTCCACCTTTTTTTTGAAGTCGGTTAAAAAGTAACTGTCTGTCTATCTATTACCTTTTTACGCTTTAGATGAATAGATAGTTTGAGGACCCAGAGTTGAGTTGGCAGACCATCCTAGACTGCATCTCACTTCACATCAGGCGATTGTAGTCAAATACAGCAAGTATTAGACTGTGTGATTTTTTATGCATGTGCTGCATAAAAAAATCACACGGGTGAAGCCATGGGCAACGGCTTGTTCTCTTATCTATAATTTATGACTGCTTCAACAATAGGGATGTTTCCTGGGTAGAAAAGCAAATTTTGAATTAGTTCGTTGACGCGTATTTTTCACTTTTACAAACGAATGATAATAGAGAGATAAAGCGCGCCAAAGTTTAAAGAGCCCGTGACGTCAACGCGTGTAAAAGTGTAGTACTGTAGTACTTGACGTTACGCGGAACTTCAACGCATCATAACTTCGTAATTATTTGTTTGATTGACCAATAAAAATATACGTAACTAGCGTGGATCCCGTTTTACCCCCTTATGGGTGGAGTTTCGTAAAATCCTTTCTTAGCGGATGCCTACGTCATAACACCTACCTGCATGCCAAAATTCAGCCTGATCCGTCCAGTTGTTTGGGCTGTGCATTCTATGTCAGTCAGTCAGTCAGTCACCTTTTGAGTTATACCTATATACATATAT